TACCTACCTACTTATATTTGCATTACTAATTGTAATTTTTGTTAATAATATAGGTAATTATAATAATGTTGTACCTGCAATTTATATCTTAGTATTTTTTACGATGTTTCCATTACGATTTAGTTAGGTAAATCCCAAATTGATGTATATTAATGTACGTACATACTACATAGGTAGTATTAATTAATGGCTCTGTTTAATAATATAAAACATATTGTTGAATTTAATGAATTATAAAACAGAGAACTGAGAAATAACAAAATATAGGTAAGTTCTCATTTTTAAATAATAATAACAATAATAATGATATTATATTGATAATAGTCTAGTATATTGATAACGTTTGTTTATCGAGTTGTTTTCTTTGCATTTGGCGTCGAGTTTCAGCTTATTTTGTGGTGGTGTATTCGAAGACGGCTATCTATAGTATTAGTATATATCTGTGGGTAAACTTGACATAAAATTTTGCTTCATCACCGTGTTATGTCGGGATAACACCAGTGCTACGACTATATACTACTACGACATTGTATTACGACAGAATATAAAAATATTACTATTATTAATATTACAGAATATTACTCCGAAATACAATTTTTATTGTCAATCATAGCTTTCTGTGCCATAACACTGCTCCGATATCAATTACTCCTAACATAAACTAAAACGATATTATATTAATATTATATTACTCCGACATATTTGCATTTTACTGATAGAGATAACCAAATCTCTACATGATAATTGATAAGTAAAAACCATTATAAATAATTATAATAACATAATTTAAAAGTTATAAAGATATAACATTGTATTGATTTTATTTAAGTATAATCCATGCTCCGCGATGTAAATTAGATCTTCTCAAGAGTTCAGAACTTCAGAATTTGTAAATGAAAAACAGAAGCACACTACACGGTGTCACGGCTCGTATGATATTAAAATTTATATTTGACATCTTTTTTCATAAAAATGTAGAAAACGTGTGATTTACATTTAATATTATCTTAATTTAGACGATGGATAAATTAGAAATTTGATATTTTAATATTTTAAATATTTGTTTTGGCTATTAGGCAATCTCAGTGTCATTTTTTTTTTCTTCAATGTGACAAGGTAATAATTATAATATTTTCTTAGGTACACTCTTTGTAATCATTTAAAGCTCTTCCATCTTTTATTACTAAAAATATTTTGAAACAAACAATTGCGGCTGGACCCACAAAACTTTTAATATCTAGGGTAATGACACCAGTGTTTGGCAACATAACATGTTATTTTTTTTTTCCTGTCGTAGAAAATAAATTGTCTTTAATTTAGTCATGTTATAATATTGATCAATTAACCTAATTATGAAGAATTTTGTGCTCTTTCATTTAATTATTATTTTGCTAATATATTATTTAATATTAACTAGGGATTTAGAAAAAAATAATTTATTTTTTTTATGCCAGTGTATGACATAAAAAATCTAGTGTTTGACACAAAAAAAAACCAGTCTTTGGCACAATCCAGTGTTTGGCGACATAAAAATCTAGTGTTTGGCATTTTGGTTTAGTACCAAAATGTTATCAAAATTATAAATAAATAAATCCTTTAAATAAAGTATAATAATAATAATACAATTAAAATACTTAATAATTTAATAAAGTATAACATGTATAAAATATATAAAAAAAAAACAAATTAAAATCTCTTTTTTTGGGTATAAAACACATTAAGTTCTTTATTTTGCACTGCATGCACAGCCTTTTGCATGTCTTGAATATTATATGCAAATTTTGGTTTTGAAGCCATTTTTGCAAGTGTGATTCTAGATACATATCATAATTAAAATACATATCTAGGTACTTAGCAGAGGTACCGAAGTACATAAAATAACAAAAATTAAAAATATATATAGGTACCTATATAGTGCCAAAGACTGGGTTTTAGTAGCATACCAATGTTTGGCAATTAATGCCATACACTGGATAAAAATAACATGTATGGTACAGTGAATGGAAATTTGGTATAATTACTTACAACTTAAATATATTGATGAACTACCATACTTACTTATGAGATCTGATGCACAGATGACTATCTAAAGAATCCCCAAATAAACAAGACAATTTTTAAATTTTTAAAAAAAATTCGAAAATATTGTTGTATATTATGAATGTTAATAAATTTTTAATGATAATAAGGATTTTATCAAAATAATAAAATTATCAATATTATCAAGTATGGTTATACCATTATGCATAATGCATGTAACCAAATAACAGCTTAGAAGTTTTTTGACTACATTATCTACACTACCTTATCTGTGACATGAAGAAAACAAAATTGCCAAAAACTGGGTTAGTCCCAAACACTGGTGTCATTACCCTAGCAGATATTCTTTGATCCTAATCACATTTTATAATTTGAAATTCATTAAGCTATTTGTTATTAACATAATTTGTTGGCTCCAGTTTCTATAAAAAATTTGTAGTAAATTTGTTTTTTGTTATTTAATTATTCTTTTCACATTAATCTAATACCACTCTGTCTGTGATTGGCGAGTTATAACTTATAAACAATTTTGTATCCATTCATTCTATTCAGAGGATGATGGAATTCATAACCCATATTAATTGTGATTCTAATAAAAGCTGTCTACACCTAAATTGGTAAATGGGCATTTTATTTTTTGAAGATATTTTAGATATTCCCTCAAAAACAGGATGTACAATGTTTTGAATTCAACTATATCAATGATACATTATAGATGACATTTTCAAGTATTACTATTAAGAGATATTGGTTTTTAAATACTAACTTGTTTTTTATTATTGTATATAAATTACCATTTTTCCCATATTTTGACAAATAAAGAGCTTATAATTATAATAGATGATTTATATCTAAATTTAAATTGGTATAAGTAGATATTATATGAGTAAGCTTGTTAACAATTTTCAACATCAAAACAAGAAATTTAAATATTTCGTCTTACAGTCGTTTGAGCCAATCTCTATGATCGGTAGATAAATTAATATTATGTGGTGTCTTATCTTTTAGAATACGTTTTTTGTAACAATTTATTTTAACAATTAAAACATTTTACTATCTGCTATTGATGGAAGTTTGGTAGAATATCTCTTGAATAATAATTAATAAGAAAATATAAAAATGATATATTTATTTTAGCTATCTTAACATTTTAGTATAAAATAAATAACTAAACAAAGCAATAAATTATTTAAAATAAAACAAAACAAATAAAAATATAATATAATATAAATATATAAAAAAAGTATTATATTATTTAACAAAAAAATATATATATATATGTATTAATAAGTAATGAAAAAATGATGAAATATTTTTTAAATTTAAAATTATTCTTAAGGTACCTTCGACCATATCGCTACAGACATCACATGTGTCAGGAGGTGTTGAGATGCAGCTTGCACAATACCATCCATGACCACAGTCCAACAGTATTGTGCCTAGTCTGGTACATATTGTACATGGCGCATACATCCAAGGCACTGACTTCCAGTTGGATCGAGTAATGAAGTATTTGGCATCCATTTACCTTCCAATAAAAAGTGTATATTTTAATTATAAAAGAAAAATTCTTCAATTTACTGTATCATTATTAATATTTACCATCTCCTAGGTTAACATGCATTATATGGATGGGCTGTTGTGGGAGATTCTACTTTGCAAACTCCACATTTATCTAATTGAATCGCACACTCATCACAGCACCATCCATGACCGCAAGGTACCAAAATGTTGGCCGAATTTACTTGGCTCCAACTTTCAAGGCAAATAAAACATCTGTCTACAGGGTCACCTTTAGAATAAAAAGTATTAGTGAGTTTTTATTTTTCAATTCGGTTTAAGAGGATATTACAAGGATATTTGTTGTTTTTGCCTTACAAGTGTGTAACATAGCAAATTGTAAGCTCAGTAGAACACGTTTAGCTCCGTCAGTTAAAAAAATTAGATTAAATTGCCCTCTTCTAAAATGTAAGGCTAAGTTTATTATATGGCATCTCGTAGGCTTATTATTATATTTTAACTTTAAAGCGAGTTATTAGTATTTTAATATGTACATACAATTTACAATTTTAAAATTAAAAAATTGATATTAATATTATAAAAAATAAATTTTTATAACTCGCTTTAAAATTAAATTATAATAAAAAGCCTAGAGATACTCTAGATAATAATCTTACCTTTACATTTTAAGAAGTAAATTCACTCTAATTTTTAAACTAGTGGAGCTAAACATGATTTTCTGAGAGTAAAATTAGGTATGGTACTCACTTCTAAGACGGAGATAACAAATGTCAGTGTAACGTTCTCTTAAAGGAAAATCATTATAATAATAACTTGCCTTCGAATGTAGAGATATCTAAATCAACTGTCTGGTGAGCTGGTTGAGTATTTTGTTCTGAAACAAAATGGAAAGTTATTAAGTTAATGTTTCAGTATTATAACATTTAAAATCAATCTACCGTCAACAAGAGCATCATCTATTTTGAGAGCTCAACTTTTTCATAGACCACTTTCTCCACTAACGTAATAATTTTTCGTTTGTAATTTTTCTCGTGTTAATGTATTGCGTTTTAGATCGTAGAATCGTACGGCGTACGCGGAGGTAGAACCACAGGGCACAGACTATATGAAAACTGATAGCTCACTCGGCGGGATGTAAACAAAAACTATGAATATTATCACCGCGACCAAATCAGTGTGACCACGGTGAGGGCATAACATTTCGTTTGGTCCATGACAAAAAAATGACGCGATTGCTACCTGCCGCCAACATTGAAATTCATACTAACTACCCTTCTATTCTATAGGATCTGACCTTTTACATCCCTTAGAAAATAGGTTATCTTGGCCTTTAGTTGCTGTTTGCACGATTTCCATGTGACTTATTAGTTGACCACTGACCAAGTGTGTAGTTTACTTAATTTTCAGTTTACAATTTAGTTGTACTTCTTAATTTTAAAATGGATAGTAAAAAAACAGGAATGCGTTGCTCTGTACAATTTTGCAAAAGTAAAGCAAGTACTAGGAATATAAGTTTCTTCCAATATCCAAAAGACGATCGTCTAGCATTATGGACAAAAAATTGTGGTACAGAAAATTTGACTGAAGGACTATCAAAAAAAAATAGCTATAAAGTATGTGGGGATCATTTTGTAGATTCAATGTTTTTGAACTCCACAACAAAAAACCGACTAGTTTTCAATGCTATTCCAACAATATTTAATGGTAAGTAAATAATAAAATTATTAAAACATGTTTAAAAATTATACAAATAATTTGAAAAACAAATTTGGATCTTAATAAAGTAATTTTTGGTTTAATAATTTAATTTTAATTTTAGTTACGTTTTTTTGAATTTAATTTTTAGATGAAATAATGTTTGAAAGAACTAAATTGGCCAAATTACAGTCGAAAACCGATGTAGATCCACAGTATTTTGATGATAATTCAAAGGACCAGAGTAGCTGTAGTAGTTCAATTCCAGGCACTGAAGGATTAAGAAGTCATTTTAGTGGATCCATGAATACTTCTGATGCTTCAAATGAATCTTGTAGCTCAATCACAACTACTGATTCTTCAAATCAAACACCTGGATACTTATCGGCAAATACACCAAGGAAACAAAAACTAGTCACGGAGATTAAATCTGGAAAACAAGAAATAAAAAATTTAAAGAAGAATGTAATAAATCTAAGTCAACAATTAGCTAACTATGATACAGTTGAACATTTTTTAAAATTAGGTGAAAAATATTTATCACCTGGATTATTTAAAATTATCAAATCCCAAATGAATTTAAAAAAAAAAACAAAAAGAAGGTTATAGATATAATAATGAAATTCAACAATTAGCATTAAATATTTATTTTTTAGGACCTAGAGTCTATAAACTTTTATTAAATACTCTTTCACTACCATCAATTTCTACTTTAAAACGGTTAACTCATAAATTTGAAATGATACCAGGCTTGAATGAATTTTTTTTTAATATTATTAAGTATAAAATTAAATATTTTACTGACGAAGCTAAAGAATGTGTTCTCTGTGCAGATGAAATGGCCTTAAAATCAAACCTCTATTATATGTTAAACAAAGATGAAATTATAGGGTTTCATCAAACAAATAAGACAAAGACTTATACTCCTGTCAAGTATGCATTTGTTCTAATGGTTAGAGGAATAAATGTTAACTGGAAACAACCAATTGCATACTTTTTAGTATCAAGTAGTTGTACAGGATATGACTTGCAGGATATTATTTTTGAAACTATTCGCAAACTTTTTGATATAGGATTAAATGTAAAAGCTTTTATTACAGATATGGGTTCTAACTTTGTTAGTTTCAGTAAAAATGTTAATGTTACCCCAGCCAGGCCTTTTTTTAAAGTTGGTGAAAAAAATAATATATTTATTAAAATCAACAAGAAATATGTTTTTTCAACACAATTTTAAATTTAATAATAACTTAATTGAAAAAAAAAACACTTTATATCATTTTTTGAACAAGACAGTAAATGTAATTTAAGAACAGCCCCAAAATTAACACATTCTCATATTTTTCCTGGAACATTTGAGAAAATGAAAGTTTTTTTGGCTGCGCAAGTGTTTAGTCAAAGTGTAGCAGCCGGCATGGAGACTTACCTTGTTAGTAATAAATTGGAGTCTTCTTCAAAGGCAACAATAGATTTTATTGAAAATATGGACAAACTTTTTGATATCTTCAATTCTTCAAGAAGGCCAACTTCAAAAAATTTCAATAGACCCTTTAAACAAACAAAAGAACAAGAAGACCATTTCAAATATATGCATAATTTTTTTACAAATTTAATTATTATTAGCAAAAAAGAACAAACTGATGTTACTAACCGGATGAAATTTATTAATGGTTGGTTGATCTCCATAACTGGCTTGCTGTTACTTTGGAAAGACTTAAAATCAACAAGACCATTAAACCAACAAGAAAATTATGTTTTATACACTGCCAGATTAAACCAGGATACTATTGAGAATCTTTTTTGTACAATTACACAACAAAATGGCAATAACACTAATCCAACTCCTTACCAATATTTGTTTGCATTTAAAAAATTTTTTTTTACTTCATTATTTTCAACACTCGGAAAAAGCAAATTGCATAAATGATTTGGATGCAATTTTAACTCAAATACCCACTGATTCAGGCTTAGACATTAACACCCTATTTGCTAATAAAACACCCTTTCAATTAAAAAAAACGTGTCCACTTTCTATAGGACATGTTGATTATAGAAATTTAGAAATTCCTGAACAAAATGCATTCATTTATGTTTGTGGATATATTATGAGTAAATGTCTAACCAAACACTCATGTGAAATATGTTTAGAGTATGCAAAAACCCAAAAAAATTTAGATCCTTCATTTTTGTTATGCTTTTTTAAAGCGTATGAAAATGCTAAAAAATCAACGTTTGGAAATTTAAATATGCCCCATGAAAATTTTTACAATTATGTTTATATCTTGGAATCTGAATTTATAAATAGTTTTCCTATTTTGTCTGTTGAAAAAGGAATAGGCGATAAACTTAAAATGAGAATGCATAATATTGATTATGAACATCCATGTCCCAACTTTGATAAAGATTACTTACTGAATTTTTTTTTGCGTTTTTAGAATTTATGCTTTAATTAAATTTTTAAATAGACATTTGGTATCTGAAAAAAAAATCAAAAACAGAAAGTTAGCAATTTTGCAGCATTTGTAAAGCAATATTTTGTAATTGTATTAATTTTATAAATATTTAGATGTATAATTGTAATTTAATAAATACCTTTTTTTATTAGAATTTAATATGTGCTAATTATACTAATTGAATTGTATGATACTACAATTGCTCCATTTATGTTTGAATACCTGTAACTAAATTATAAATTAAACATTAATTAGTTATTACTTTTGTAAATTGTATTATAAGTCTTTATATGTGTCTCTATGTTGTAAATAAAACATATTTAAGTTAGGAATAAATTATGTAATATGTACTGTGTAATTATTTAGATTACCTACCTATAAATACTTATTATGGATTTACTTATATTGGTAGAACCACAGATATAATATATAAATATTATATAATAACATAATATTATTATATATATCTGTGGGTGGATCGAACAGAATAATTATTACTACTGTTGGGGACCATTTGGTAATTTCTAACTATGTACCACATAGAGTAATATTACTCTATGATGTACCACGAATTAAGATATATATCTTAATTCGTGCTATGTACCGATGGAACGAACAAAAGTAACAGGAGTTCCGCTAATCAGTTATCACTGGTCGGCCGTCTTTTGTTTGCGTCGTAGTTTTCGTGTTTTGGTTTCATTCATGACGTGCTTTGTACAGTACCCGGCGATATTGCAGTAGACATTTTAAATATTAACTATACTTAAAGCATACTATACCTGTAGGAAATACTACACCCGATACCTAACCACCCAACTATTTTAACTGGATTAACTACTACGATAAGACTTACACCTCAAAACACAATCATCGGTCTATAGGATACCGGAATACAGGTGTCGTATACATTCCAAGACTGAGTGATCGAGGCTACCCACGTCCATTGATTGAGTTCTGTTTTCTAAGTTCCAACTGCATACAATACAGATAACTGTCTACTGATAAATCTAACTACAATATCCGACTTGTCAAATTGGTCTCGGTGGTTGCACTTTTATATTAATTATTTTAACTTTGTTATTGATAATAATATACTATGTTTCTAAAATGCATAAGTGTATAGTGTGTGGCAATGCATCTAATAAAACCAAAGTCAATTTTTCAGGAGTTATTTATCAAGGGTGAGTATCAATTGGTTCTAGAAATTTACTCACTTAAACTGTTCTGATGTAGCCTAATAACTTCTACTTTGTGTTTATTTTCCTAACCTAACATTAGCAATTTATTCTATTCATTGATGGTTGTTTTAATATAGAATTCCCAAGAATACATATATGAGAAGAAAATGGCTTAAAGTTTTTGGAATTGATCGTTGTCATGATTGGCAACGTATATGTAGTGGTCATTAAAACTAGTGGAAAAAACTATAATCCATAAAAAAAGCGATTTTTATTAAATTACTTATTATTATAAGATGACAGACTGTCTCCCCTTAGAATTGGTTTTCAAATGCAATTACAGTGACTTGCTCAATGATGAGGTACACTCAACATCTGCATCCCTGCAATTTCCCGTTATTTTTCATTGAATGTACAATTTTTTTAAAACTTCAAAAGACCATAAAAAAATTAAAATAATATTGTGCTTATGTATTTTTATTTAGATTTAGATGATTTGAAAAACAACTTAGGAACATTGTATTACAAAATACTTTTCAAGTTTTTTGATAGAAATTGTTATCAACATTTATAAAAAGAAAGTTAAAGCTATTATTAAGTATCAGTTTTGAAAGTATACTCAAATACTATTGTGAATGGAATTAGTCTTAGTTCTTTTAGTTTAATGATTTGTTATTTTAGTATTGCATTTTACATTTTATTTTTTTTTATTAATTTAGGACGTTGAATTTTGTTGTTCTGTACCGGAAGTCCAGAATGCATAACTAATACTGAAAAGGAGGTTGGAGATTTGTGCCCTTACGCACCAACAATAGTAATTTTTATAATCTTTCATAAATATTGTTTTAAAATAATTTTTGATGTCCTTTCATTTTTATTGCTTATTTTGTAGGAACGTATAAATGAGTGGAGTGAAATTTTAGGTTTGCACTTGACACTTACTAGTCTTGTGTGTGAAAGACATTTCCGATCGCCAGACATACAGACTGCCAGAATATTGGCAAATGGTTATCATAAAAAATATAATCCATTAGGACCTAATGCTTTGCCTGTGCCAATTAATGAGGTGCCAGTATTGAGCACGTGTGAAGATCAATATATAAGTCTAATAGATAACAAAGTTGCTGAACAGTCGTCAGAAAAAAAACAACAACAATGTAAATGGTACTATGTAAAAAATTCTTACTAAAATACATTTTAACTTGTAATTTAAAACCAATATTAAAATCAAATACTGAAAAAATTAATAACCTTTCAGATAATACTTCCATGACAACTGACCTTACAATTGATGGATTCATCTAATAGTTCTTACTTATTAAAACAGTTAATATTTTATTTTATAGATTTCTGAAAAGAAAGAATTAGTATTAAAACTAAGAACAGAAATGGCAGAAATTTAAAGAAATCGTCAACTTTAAAACCATTTGGAACTTCAAATATTATGAAGCTATAAATATTATGCATTCTATTTGCCAATTTTATGTATATTTATTAGACAATTGTTTTTTTTTTATTTTAGTTAATTTATAAAAAAAAAATTTTAATTTGTATAATTTTTGAATTCATATATTATAAAGCTTGAGTTTCAAATATTGAAAATTGGATTTCATTGAGGCCTGTAGTAAATTACTCTTTATTAGTTAAAAAAAAAATTATCAAGTTCGGTTAATTTTAAAGAACAAAATTCAAATAGTTGTACATCACCTTTAACTGGCCCTTTCTAAGCAAACATTGCAATTGGTTGGGTAAAATTTTCTTCTAAGCTTTGCCACATTAGCACAAGTCTACTGTCGACTTTATCAACTTCTTTACAATCTTCTTTTATTTCATCTCCAAAATCTTCAAAACCAGAATATGTAAGCGTTCTACTATTTAGGAGAACGGATACCTTACATTTTTTTACTTTATTTTGTGTCTAGAACTTTTTCATTATTTTTCTATAGAAAAACATCAAAATACTATACATTCTAAATAATGGACACTTTTATGGCATTTAAATATTTGATTTTGATCATTTTTCTAGTAAATTTAGAATAATTATGGAAAACGAAGGTAAAAATGTATTACAAGATGATGACATCTAAAATAATGAGTGACTGGCTTAAGATATTTACCTTTTCATTTATTATTATTATTTTTAAAATATAATTAATACATAGATGCATCGAACATAATTAAATAATTATAAATAATTACACATATAATAGATATAATTATATATCATTATTATATTACATATATTATGTAGTTATTAATTGACATTCGAATATTATGCTTCTTCTATTTCATTTTCCCCACTACAAATTAAATCCATCTGCATCCCTCTGCAAATCCGAATATCGAACAAAATTTCAGCTACAGAGAGTGTCCGCTATTATTTAGTCTTTTCAATATTCAAATAACATATTCAATTTATTATAATTATGCTATATATTATTAATATAATAATAATAATATGTCATGTAAAATATACAGTTTAGAACAATATTAGACAATAATAGGTATACGTATTCACGAATTAACAGTATTATTATATTTGCCTTTTTAATTTAAAACAATCAGAATAATGTAGGTAGTTATTGAAAATTTAAATATTATTTTTACAATGAAAAGTTCCTGGAGTTAAGGTGAAATTAATTTTTTCATAAAAATATATCGCTTATATTATTGTGTTTCAGCTTTTAAATTAAAATTGTATATTTTGTTTGTGTATACCTACTATTTAACTTTGTATAATACATCACTTGCTGTATCACAAATTTCACCAATACATATTTTTAAACTCGTGTGTTTATAACTCATATTTGACCATTGCATCTGTTTAATCAATCATGACAATTAAATGTAGGAAATGTGACGCATAATTTTCAATACCCATTCGAATGTCAATTATTGTTTCATTATTACTATTTACCAGTCCTGTAAAGTATTTGAGTAAAAGTATTCAAATACTTTTTTAAGTATTGAATAACTTTTTAAATACTTTCAGCATGAAGTATTTTGAATGGTATTTTAAATACTTTTTGGTATTGAATACTTTGGTTTTTTATTTCGAACATTTTATTTTTATTCGAAATAATTTTAGAAATTTTAGAATAAATTAAGAACACAAAATAGGTAGTATCACCAATGGGTGGTTTCTTCCCTCAAAATATCAATCATACGCAAATACCCTATGCACATTTGCTTATTGTTCTAGTTAAGAACAGATTGTAAATTTCATGTAAAAAAAAAAAAAAAAAATGTAATAAACATTTATTTAATAAATAATGAATAAAAATGATTATAAATTTACTACCTATGTGTCTATATTACAATAATTAGAAACCCACTTTAAAAACCAAAAGTATTTGATAAGTATTCCAAATACTTTTTCAAAGTATTTGAGTAGTATTTTAAATACTATACAATTAAAGTATTTGAGTAGTATCTTAAATACTTAAAAAAAATGTATTTGAGTACTTACTCAAGTACTTTTCAAAAGTATTCTTTACAGGACTGCTATTTACATATCATTTATCATTAAATAAATTTGATTTATACTTCTAAACGTTTATGAGTTATAGATGTTAATCATCTTCAATTATAAAAATAATTAAATAAAAATATGATCCTAATACCAAATATACATTATGTATTAATAAGTAGTGAAGTCTCAATCACTCAAAATATAATGAAGACAAAAATGAAACTGAATTATACATTATTTAATATTAATTTACTCATATTATATATATTATATACTATATATCTACACATTTACATTCATTCATATTTAATAATACCTATATATAAACAATT